CAAAAATCAAAGGTTTAATTTCAATGTTTGAATATGTTCTTGGCATGGAATGATATTATGAGAATGTAGTATAATGATCAACCACCCACAAAAACATAATAGATAGTGAGTATTTATAATATGAGGTATTTGAGTATTATAGGATAGGTAGAACTCTTGAAAAACGTGAACTATGGTTTCTCGAAAAATACCGTCGTTCGAGCGCTAGACTATCGACGAGTGTGTCGTCGAGCAAGAGTCGGACGACAATTATTCTACTTTTTTCACTCGAGCATCAGTTAGGCGACATGTTAGCTTAAATCCGACAACTCTTTATTCATATTTCATCCTCAAACTCAAAAATTCCTAGTTCATCTATATTACCCCAAAAAACTCTTTGACTTTTACGACTATATTATTATAATAATTTTCTTTTATAAAAATCATTTTGTTTAAAAGTTTGACAATACTACATACTCCCTCCATCCCAATTATATAGGATGAGTTTCATTTTTCTCTTATCCCAAATATATAGGCTTGTTTCCTAATGTAGAATATTTTATTGTGTTCATTTACCAATATACCCTTATTAAATTTTCCTTAATATGCTAACTTCTTGAAAATTTAAATTCTTTATTAATTCCAACAATAATTTAGTTTTACACACTGAAAATTAAATATGGGTAAACTAGAAAAGATTTTGAACAAAATTAATTTTTCAATGACATTAAAGAAACTTTCTTAATCAGTGTGAAAAACTAAACAAACTTATATAATTGGGACGGGGGAGTAATTCCTAGCACGGTGGTTTGTAACTGATTCAATCAAACAATATCATAGGTCACTTTCTCTAGAGCTTCGTTGCTATCGGGCTAAAAAGTGATTGCTCCTTAATGAAAACAACTTGCATTAATATATTAGCACGATCATTATGTGCATTTAAGATCTATTAATTAGGTATACATTGCATTAATCTTGCCGTTTTTATTGAAAAATTGATGAGTCATTACATTAAGAGTAATGCTACACAAACATAATACTTGATATTGGGGATGACACAACATACACACATGAGGGAGGCCGGCATTATTTAATTCAGGTCGGAACTGACATGTAATGTGAGAGGTCGGTCACCTCCTATGTCAAGCATTATGTTCATTTAGCTTAATTCAGTGGAATTACAAACACAATTTATGTGGCATTAATGTAATTGTTTTGCATTCGACCCGTTATCGAACTAGAAGAACATGCTAGTTTTGATATAAAATCGATGAAGACATTTAGTTCAACTGACTGATTTTATGAATTTTTCGAACTTCTATATAATTATAATTAATCGCATGATCTTATGGATAATAGCACAAGCATATAGACCATCAAGCTAATACTAGGGTTGTAAATGGATCGGATATGGATCGAATTTGTTTATATCCAATCCAATAAGAGAATTATCCGATCCGATTTGATAATTCAACGGATATTTGATTGTTAAATCCATATTCGATTTGCTATGTTATTGGATATCCGATAATCCAATCTGAAATTAATAAAAATTAGGAAAAAAATCAATGTTGGAATCAAATCATCATACATTAAACAAAAAATTGAAAATCTTCAAATAAACTGTTAAAACCGGCCGGTTAACCGTAAACCGAAAAATCGGATCCGATTTTTCCAAATAAAATGATTTTATGTTCTTTAATAATTTTTGAAATAACTTGAAGCCCACCTATTTTTATTAGCAAACCCAATAATGACTTTTACCATTATGATGTTCCTTTTTAAGGAGAGATCGTCTTTTAGTTTTCTATTGACATTCGATGTGGGATAAGACAAAATTGAATTTTAATTCTAAATATAAATATTTTATTTCATTATTTTCATTAACAAATCAAATTATTTATTACATATTAATTATTAGTTTTTGAAGTTGTAAAATAAATTACAATAATAAATTTAATTAAAAAATATAGATATTTATTTCTTTAAATTAATAAACTAAAATTAAAAAAAATCTATTGTTTTTATAATATTTAACATTTATGTGTATAGTTATTTATTCAATTTGACAACCGGTTCGATATTGATTCGACCCCGGTTTGACTTTTTGACCCTTGACCCTCTTCCTTTTCCGGGTCGATGCCCGAATCGATTTTTAAAACATTGATTGAAATCGACTTTTTTCTCCAAATTTTTCAATTCTTAAACATGTTTAATAATTATAAATTTTTCAACTTTTTATATTTTGAATTTGATTACTTTTTTATTCTAAATTTATTTTCTCATTTATTTATGTTAGTGGCACATAATATGTCATAAAAATATTTTACCAACTCAATTATTTATAACAAATCGGATCGGATTGTTATCAGATTGGATTGACTTATAACCATATTTGATCCATTTAGTTAATAGATTATCGAATTCGGATCTTGATCAGGCTATCGAATTGAGACCCTAAATCCATCTCCCATTAATTTTGTCGGATTCAGATCGAATTCTGATGAAAATTCAATTCATTGACTGCCCTAACTACTACTTTATATTCTTAAAAAATTATATATATATGACTTTTAAGAACAAGCTTCGCAAAATTACAAAATCACCTATTAACCAGAAGTTAACAAATATCATTTTATATTTGTTAACTTCTATTAATATGATAATGCCACTTAACTTGCTTGTCGCGTGCCAAGAACATGCACTGGTAAAACTTAATTTGTAATTTAATTGATCAAACATTTATTTTATCTATATATTTTATAGGATTCATAATTTACCAATTACATTATGTAAGACTCTCAACTTAAAAACACTATCCAACAATAACCAAAATTTTGAAATACAATTACTCTTGACAGTAAGTTCCATTCGACTAAAAAAGTTGATAAAGATATAAATCAAAATCAACACTTATAATTATACATTTTGGGGTTATTTGTTTCTGATGCTCAAAATCAATTTTTATTTTCAACCACACATTTTTCAATAAAATAATATTTTCCATCACATCAATAATTTTTTCTTCTTTTTTAACCACACATTTTTCATTATATCATTATTCAAAATCAATTCTTCCTCCAAAAATCCATACTAATCAAGCACTTTATGAAATTCACAAATTTTCGAATGAAACAAGACTTTAGGGAACAAAAGGCAAATATTCTAGAAAAGTTGACCACTGTTGCGCATGAACGAGCGATCGGTTCGAACTTCGAACAATATTTCGCCTCGCCTCACCTCACCTCACCTCGCCTCGCCTCTCTACGCTGACTGTTCTTGTTCTTGTGGGCCCACCAAAACGAAGCCAGAGAGGGAGAGTGCATCCATTTCTGCTGCTCCGTGGGCTGCATTTTATTTCATTTTTCATCTGCAACTTTCTTGATTTTTTGAAAAACAATTCATTTTCTTGATACTGTCTCCAAATTGTGATAACCCTCTTTCTTTTTTGATTGTACGCTTCTTTTTCTTTTTATTTTTTGGCGATATTAATGTAATTATCTCTCTACACACTTGTAATTATGTATATATGCATCCAAACGTGTTTGTATATGGATGTCGGTTAATTTTTTTTCTTTATTTGATTTATTTTCTGAAAAATAGGTGAAATTTTGGGGTTTTAATTTGTGAAGCACCCAAATAAAATAGGTTTTAGGGCTTTGGAAACAAGCTATAATTCTTTTATATGCGACTAAAATTGTGCATCAAAACATTTTAGTACTGAGGCAGTTTATTTGGTTATTTTTTGCATTTTTGTTTCACAAGTATGCATAATTTTGTTAATTATCTATCTAATTTTGTAAACATATAGATAGAAAACCAACTGGGTTGTCGGTGTGCATAATTTCGTGTATTTTCTGTATAATTTTATACATTTCTGGATGCATAAATAGACAAACATATGTAAGGACTTTGTACAAATGCACTGTTATTATTTTTACTATTTTTTTTCTCTCTCTGACTTAAATTCTACTTCAAGATTACCTCTGAATCAGCCCATTTGCTTAATTTTTGCATTTTTATATGGTAGGTATGCATAGGATTTTTGATTTTCTATATAATTTTGTATATTTCTTGATGCAAAAAACATGTAATTATATCCAAAAGCGCAAATATAGTTATTATTTTACTAGCTAGGGTTGTGAGTGTTCTTCTTTGAGGGCATATGATCTCCATTAGCGATCTTTTCTGTTAAACGAAAAACAGTTTATCAGATAGAGATAAATAGATTGTACCCTCGAGCAGCTATTATGTTATGAATTCTTTTTTGGAGCATTTCTTTCTTTAAAAGCCATGCAACAGCTTATTATCTTTATTTAATTAGGCATGGTTTGTAGTTAAAGAAGCAAGCTATCTCCCTCATGTTTTAATTTTTTTCATCTTGATAAATTCGAATCTATAATTACAATAAAAATATGCCCATAATTTCTGCTATCTTAAGTTAGATATCGATGTAAAGTGTGTCTGAAAGATATTAGCACAGTTCTTCTAACTCTGACCGAAAGACTTCATTAATTGTAATTTCAGCAAATATGGGGTGATTAAAACACCAGTGAAATGGATACATAAGATTTTTGGTTGAATAGATAGACTGCAATTCTTCTGTCTTTGCTTTAGGTTTTAATCACTAACCCTTCAGTTGCATCAGAGTGTTATGGCTGGTGTTGAGGAGTACCCTTCCTAAAGAATCTAACTTTTATATTTGATGAAGTGTCTTTATAATGTTATTTGTACTATGTAGGAGTGTGAATCCATGAGATTACACAAATTCCTGGTTGGCCAATTTGATTTGGCTGATCTTTCTTTTTCCTGAGAAACCAAATTATGCACGTCCAATTTTGCAAAGTGGATAACGTGTTGCCAATGATATTTGTTTCCATTTTGTCGTTGTGTATATTTTTAATGGCATGCATTAAATTGACGTGTCTACGTTTTTATGGAACAGGTGTCTATCTGATAATGCTTTAGCTATAAATTCAATTGTGCATCTACTTCTATGTTAATTGAAAGCAATAAGCTTGATGCTTAGAAAACGAAACCAACAGAAGAATGGGTTGGATCGTTGCTTTTCAAATGGTAAGAAAGGAATTTCAGATTGTGGACCTGCAGTGCAAAATACTGAAGGAAGAATCAATGATAATGAGATGAAGGATACACAAGGGGTAGAACTTCCAAATAGTAACCCTTCAGTCATGCCTCAAACAAAGAGCAGGAATGATACAAGTCACATGCAAGATGAGAAGAAAAGTAAGAAAAAACCTAAGAAATCTCATCGAAGAGAAAACAAAAGCATGGATGCAGCACATAGTGAAAAGCCGGCACCTGAAGAAGGCAAGACTGATATGCCTACAGTTGAAGTTTCTGATGTGAGAGAAAAAATTGAAATTGCCCCAGAGAGTACTTTCAGCTCTCCAAATTCGACCACTTTTGCTGACTCACAGAATGAGTTGCTCGCAGAAGACAGAATGGGTAATGTAGAGTTTACGGATACTAAGATTTTTAAATGGATGAGGACTTGTGCTCTTGCCATATCAAAGGCATCTATTGAATGGGTGGAGAGGCACAAACCTATGTTTGTCGCTCTCAAAACTAATGCACTAAAGATACACAACTATGTTCGAAGGATGATTGAGCATGTGCAACCTATTGTCTTCAGATGGATTGTGTATTTTGGTAATACAATTCTTCTTCTGTTGATGGTTTGGTTGGACTGTGCTATCAGAGGCGTGGAATCCTTGCTGCGCATGGGGACAACATCAGTTTTCTCTATCATTTGGTTTGGTGTCCTCTCAACAGTTGCAATGGTCGGAATGACGAAGTTTCTGATAATACTGGTAAGCAGTAATCTTAACAAATGACCTATACTTTTCCCTTTTTGGTAGAAAAAACCTCAGAAAAGACATGGACTAGAAGTTGCCTGGTTTTCTGCTTTAATTTTCTATTATGTTGGGAATAGCTGCTATTTGAAGGTTTAATTGTGAATTATCTATCAAGTATGTTTCTTATTTGCATTTTATGGATTGTTCAGGCCATCACTGCTGTAATTGGACTGTTCGCTGGTTTCGCACTTGCAAGTGTGTTTATTTTCTTTGCTGGAGCGACTTTCTTGTGGTTATATGGAAGCTTTTGGACAACTGGACTAACTATTACTTTGGCAGCAGGTGCACATTTTTCTCAGAGTACTTAGAAATTTTCCCCATCTAGATTCCTTCCCTCACCTTCCATACATAAAACGACTTGGCTTGAAGCTTAATTACTATTGGCACTGAGATTGGTGGTTTATGGAACTGCAGGGTTGGCATTCATACTGAGCCATGATCGCATTGCATTGTTTATTACAACCGTGTATTCAATGTATTGTGCATGGACATATGTTGGATGGCTTGGCGTGCTTGTTGGCCTGAATTTATCATTTATTTCAAGTGATGTTCTTCTATACGTCCTGAGGAATACTTTAGAACAAAGAAGGCCCGACATTCATGCAGAACAAGCAGCTGGAATGCAAGGTGAACCATCCTTTTTTTCCCATGAGTCGATGCACGCTTCATCTAGTGGAATTGGTACTGATGTACCAGATGATCGTAATCCTGGAATACCTTCAACTAGTAAATCTGATTCTGAAATGACATCTGAAGATGAAGTTGTTAGGTTGTTGAACTGTAAAGATCATTATTCTGCATTGGGCTTGTTCCGGTTTCAGAATGTAGATGTCTCCGTAATCAAGCGGGAATACAGGAAAAAGGTGACTGTCAATAATATTTCTCTTTTATCGGGTAGTTTACCTGAGAAATTTACAGTGTTGGCCTGTTGAGTGCTCTACCACCATGTTTGGTATGACAGGACTAGATTGTCCTATGAACAAGATTTTAACTTCTTTTGCTTATTTAATATTGTCCATTAAAGTTTACAAAATATGCACTACAAGTATGGATCTCGTTCTGTTGCAATAACTCAAGTCTAATGGGAAATTCTTCGGAAAAAGGAAAAAAAGCATACTCAAATGAATCATTTTCATTTTTTTAATTGCACATTTGTTTGTGGTTATTAGGCAATGCTTGTCCATCCAGATAAAAATATGGGAAACGAGAAGGCTGCAGAAGCTTTCAAGAAACTTCAAAATGCCTATGAGGTATCTCGTTTTCTTAATTTTGTTCTCTTTCATTAGATTGTTTTTATTATCTGAATTATTGTGCCTGTATACATCTAACATCTTGTGTGCCAAGGTTTTACTGGATTCCATCAAGCGAAAAGAATATGATGATGAATTGAAGAGGGAAGAGCTGCTGAATTTTTTCCGAAATATCCAGAATGGTTCTCAAGAGGTTTGAGCTATAACCTATTCCACTTTCCTGAAATGACTTTTAAATTTCCAGAACTCTTACAGTACCCGGTTGCCTTACATGCATCTGGTGATTAATGATACTTAAACCTAATCATTTAAAAAAAAAAAAAAAACTTTGGTTTTGCGTATTGACTTCGATGCTCCATGCTGTTATTACTTAGTATTTGAGGAGATACGAGACATTTTTATCCCCTTCTTTTCATCATCACCAGCTGACAATCTTTTAATCCTGTCAAGATCTACTGGTGATAAAATAATTCAGAGAATAAAAGCATGGAATGGTCATTCCATTATTCCGAATATAGTCATTCCGTTGTCCCGAACATTTATTATTTTCTGTTCTCAGTTTTACTTGGCCACATTTTTTTTATTGAGATTTCACAATTAGAGTTTCTGGTTTCAATCTCCACCTTCAGCAGCAATAGTGGTTGTGGATTTGGTTTCTGTTGATTTAACCATTTTTTTATTTTTTATTCCAATGTTCACAATAACACAAATAGAAAAGAAATGCTCCATGCAGTCTGGAAAGAATCCTTCTATAGGTGCCTTAGCATTCTTGCCCATGTCTCCAGCATCCATGAACTTTTGTAGATATTTTCAGTTTTATATTAATTAGTTTCAGACTTATCGTTCATTTCAATTGCCTCATGCTTTCTCATGTTGCTTTTCCAGAATAAAGGGCGCGGCTTCGCTACCTCTAGCTTTGCACGCCCAGAAGCAGATGGGGAGGACCCACTTGGGGAGTTGAGAAGAATTGCGTGCAGGAAGTGTGGCTACTTTCATGTCTGGGTTCACACCAAGAAACCAAAATCTAGAGCGAGATGGTGCCAGGTTTTCCATCCTCTAATTTAAATTCATGGATTCAGTTTTCCATGGGAAAAGGCATTCAAAGAAAATTCATCGGGGTCAAGATTCTTTGTTTGCCAAAGATATATTTTTACATGGATTTTGATTTCTTTATTTTCTGTTCCCAAGGATTGTAAAGATTTTCATCAAGCTAAAGATGGGGACGGGTGGGTCGAACAGTCCTCACAGCCTCTCTTCTTTGGAATACTGCAGAAGGTATGTACCACAAGAAGAGTCAAAAAGGTTCAATTTCATCTTCTTGCTTTATTTGCTACTAACTTTTATTATATATGCAGGTAGAACCTCCTGCTGCATATGTCTGTGCTGATGGCAAAATTTACGATGCAACTGAATGGTATATATGTCAGGTACAGTTTTCTCGCTTGACTGGATAAAGATAATGCCTTGTTGCATTTTTTGCTGTAACTATAATTGTGTAGTGTAGAAATATTGAATGTAGACCACTTGTTTGAAGTGCGCGTAAAATTTGGTGAAAGTTTCTGCTGTCTTATTTTGATAGAAATAGCTGTTTTCACATTGAATTGAGACTTGAAAGAGGGAAAATTGTTAGTGACTGCCTGATATAACAAAAGAAACAGAAGATAAAAGTTTGACTAATTCAAGAGTACAGGTTAGGTATGAAGGTAAAATGTAGTAAACACGAAACAACGTTAATAGTATGACCAGCAATAACCGAAGAGGTGGACCCGTTCCTGTTTGGCTTTTCCGTCCGTTAATATAATACAATAGGTCCCAAAAAAGCAACCTAAAAAAAAAAAGAAAAAAAAAAGAAAGACTTTAACACACCCAAATAGAAGCATGTTAGGCTAAGCATGTTTGGAAATATGTGTGTGTGTGTGTGTGTAAACTTTAAGCACAAAAGGCTACTTATTTGTGCTCCTTGGTGGTGGTTGCAGGGGATGAGATGCCCAGTCAACACTCACAAGCCTAGTTTTCATGTAAACACAAGTGTTATGTCAAAGAATAGCAATGGGAAGGGATCAAATTCTGGACAAAGCAGAGGTGGGATTCCGACACATAATATGGAAGAGACAATGACAGAGGAGGAATTCTTCGAGTGGTTACAAAATGCAATGCAATCTGGCGCGTTCGAAAATTTTGCTGGCAGTACTAGTACTTCTGAGAACCCACCTAACCGAAATGTTCCCAAAACCGGGGGTGGCAATAGTAGCAGTGCAGGCAGCAAGAGAAAGAAAAAGGGAAAGAAGCAATGGTGAGCATACAGGAAATTAGTATGTTTACGGACCAAAAGGTGCACACGCCAAGTGCATAGCCTTTGGTCCATTGTGAAACTGAAAGTCGAGGAACGTTTAACTAGTACTAATTGTATTTTTCCAGAATGAGCCCTTTTGACTCCTGTATTACTGTAATAGTGTGTACAGTATTTTGCCCAAATTCTGCTTGGGATTGAATTTTTGCTCAGGAAGTTGGTCATGAAGTTCATTACATGTGGCATGGCCAGGGGTATAAAATGGCCGGTTTGCCCGACTGTGCACTTTAGTTGTCTCGTTCGTCAACCCATACTAGGGAATTCATAGAGAACACTGTTGAAATTTACTTAATCATGCACAGCGAAAAATAAATTATTCTTCAATTTCCACCACGGATTTGCTTTGTGTTTAGAATAATGCATTTGATGAATTCTTCAAACTCTTTTGTTGATTTTCGAATATGAACAATTATGAACTGCAATCCACAATTGTCCAATTGTCTAGCTTCCAATGGAAATTCACACCAGGAACAAGAATGAGAGAATTATGATTTTTTTTCTTTTTTTGCGCTAGCAAGAATAATAATAATATTCTGTATTTTTAAACCCTACATGCAGAACAAGCAGCTGGAATGCAAGGGCAACCATCCTTTTTTTCCCATGATCCGATGCATGCTACATCCAGTGGAATTGGTGCTGACATACCAGATGCTCGTAATCCTGGAGAACCTTCAACTTGTGGGTCTGATTCTGAAGTGACATCTGAAGATGAAGTTGTTAGGTTGTTGAACTGTAAAGATCATTATTCTGCATTGGGCTTGTCACGTTTTCAGAATGTAGATGCATCTGTAATCAAGCGGGAATACAGGAAAAAGGTGAATGTCTTAATATTCATCTTTTATTGGGTAATTTATCTGTGAAATGTACAGGCTTCCCCTGTTGTGTGCTGAGCTCTACCACTATGTTTGGTAAGACAAGACTAGGCAGCACTATGAACAAGAGTTTAGCTTCTATTTCTTATTTAGTACTATCCTCTACGGTGTGAAAAACATGCACTAGAAGTTTGGATCTTGTTACGTTACATTGCTATCTTATTTGAAATAACTTAGGTCTAATGGAAATTCTTCAGAAAAAGGAAGAAGCATATTTAAAAGAACCCGGAGCCTTTCTTTTCTTTTCATTTTTAATTACACTTTTGTTCATGGTTATTAGGCGATGCTTGTCCATCCAGATAAAAATATGGGAAATGAAAAGGCTGCAGAAGCTTTCAAGAAACTTCAAAATGCTTATGAGGTATCTCGTTTTCTTAATTCTGTTCTCTTTCATTAGACTGTTTTCATTATCTGAATCATTGTGCCTGAATACATCTTACTTCTCGGTCTCCCAGGTTTTACTGGATTCTGTCAAGCGAAAAGAATATGATGATGAATTGAAGAGGGAAGAGCTGCTGAATTTTTTCCGAAATATCCAGAATGGTTCTCAAGAGGTTTGAGCTATAACATATTCCACTTTCCTGAATTGACTCTTCAATTTCCAGGTACTTTTATAGAAGCCGTCTGCCGTACATGCATCTGGTGATTAGTGATAGATAAACCTAATCTTTTCAAAAAATAAAAATAAAAATACTACAGTTATGCATATCGACTTCAATGTGCCATGCTATTAATAATTAGTAACCGAGGAGATACGAGACTTGTTTTATCCTCTTCATTTCATCATCTCCAGCTGACAGTCTTTTATCCCCATCAAGATCTACCGGTGATAAAATATAGAAGGGAATAAAAGAATTCTGAGAATAAAAGCATGGAATGGATATTCCGTTGTACCAAATATAGCCGTTCCATTGTACCACATCATTATTTTCTGTTCCCAGTTTTACTTGGCCACATTTTGTATTGAGATTTTGTAATTAGAGTTTCTGGTTTCAATCTGCACCTTGAATTTTCAGCAGCAATAGTAGTTATGGATTTGGTTTCTGTTTATTTAACCATGTTTTTATTTATTCCATGCTCACAAGCACGTAATAGAAAATAAAATGAGGTTTCTATGCAGTCTGGGAAGTATCCTCCTATAGATGCCTTTGCATTCTTGCCACGTCTCTAGATATTGTCAGTTTTTGCAATAATCAGTTTCAGCCCTTCAGACTTCTCATTAATACCACTTACCTCATGCTTTTACACGTTGCTTTTCCAGAATAAGGGGCGCGGCTTTGCTGCCTCTAGCTTTGCACGCACAGAAGCAGATGGGGAGGACCCACTTGGGGAGTTGAGAAGAATTGCATGCAGAAAGTGCAGCTACTTTCACATCTGGGTTCACACCAATAAGCCAAAATCTAGAGCAAGATGGTGTCAGGTTTTCCATCCTCTAAATAAATTTATAGATTTAGTTTTCCATGGCAAAAGGTAGATAAAGAATCTTCTTCGAGGTCAAGATTCTTCCTTTTGCCAAAGATATATTTTTACATGGATTCCGATCTCTTTATTTTCTGATCCCAAGGAATGCAAAGATTTTCATCAAGCTAGAGATGGGGACGGATGGGTCGAACAGTCCTCACAGCCTCTCTTCTTTGGAATACTGCAGAAGGTATGTACCATAAGAAGATGCAAGAGGTGCATTTTTCATCTTTATTTATTGCTACCAACTTCTCAGTAATATATGCAGGTAGAACCTCCTGCTGCATATGTCTGTGCTGATGGCAAGATTTACGATGCAACTGAATGGTATATTTGTCAGGTAAAGCTCTCTCTCTTGACCTTATAAAACTAATGTCTTTTTGCATTTTTTTTTCTGTAACTATATATGGTGCAATTTCCGAAATTTGGGCTCGACAAAACTACCTAAATTAGGGCCGGACAAAATTCCCTAATTAGGGTATTAGAGTCGAGAATCAACGGGTTTAATTTGATTCTCTCGGTTCTAGACCAAGAATCGAAGAACCGAATAAGAGTAAAATCTCCCTAATTTTTTTAAATTTTTTATATTAAATAAGTCAAGTTATTTTAATTTTTTTCTAAATAAATTTGCCAATTAATTAATTAGGCCCAAGAATATCATTTTCCTATTTCATTTGCCAACTAATTAATTGAGCCCAAAATATCATTTTCGTGTTTTGAGCCCAAGTCCAGTTTTCTAATTCATATTTCAAATAATCAAAATTGAGTGACCTAAGAGTTAATGTATTGTTCTAAAAGCTAAGATGGAATATGGTATTAGTTGGATTAATGTAGTGTTATTGTAAATATTAAAAAATTTAATTATTGTATGGAACTTGAACCCAACCGAAACGCACTGGTTTCATAATTAAATTTAGACCCGACAGTTTCACCTACTAAATACCTGAAAATTTTGGCTCGATTCGGTTTTCTTTAGAACTGAACCCAATTGAACCATGTCTAGCCCTAGCCGAAAGTTGAATGTAGTCTGCCTGTGAAATTCTCAAATTTCTGTGAAAGTTTCTCTGGTTTAATTTTGATAGAAATAGCTTTTTTTTCACAATGAATTGAAAGTTAGAAGAAGGAAATAGCTTCCTTTTTTTCATAATAACAATAAAAAATAGCTTTTTTCACATTGAAATGGAAGTTGAAAGAAGGAAATTTGTTAGTGATTGCTCGACGTAACAAAAGAAACAGAGGATAAAAGTTGGTTACTAAGGGTCTGTTTGGTACAGATTTTCATTTTCTACAGTAAATCAATTCTCGTTTTCAACCACACATTCTTCAATAAAATAATATTTTCCATCACATCAATACTTTTTTTTCTTTTTCAACCACACATTTCCCATCATATCACTATTCAAAAATCAATTCTTCCCCCAAAATTCCCTACCAAACACACTCTAATTCAAAAATACAGATTTGGCATGATGATAAAATTTAGTCGATATGAAACAATGTTAATCATATGACCAGCAGTAACCAAAGAGGTGGAGCCTTCCTATTTGACATTGCCATCTATTAATATAAATGCAATAGGTCCCATAAAAGTTTATACAGGTTGTGCAAAGTTCATTTTCTAAAAGAAGGTTTTACACTGGATTCAAGGGATGCCAGTCTAATCTGCTCTACGTTTTCTTCTTTTACCCATGTCAGGATGTTTTATATTAATTTATGGACGTAAATCTGGAGCACTATCTATTATACGATAAATTTTTGTCACAGAATCCGAACTTGCATGCCTTTTCTCCCAAAAGTTAAAGAAAAAAGGGTCAAACACCCAGTGACAAGCACATATGCACGCTCATGAATAGCTTGCTTTGCTGGAGCAAGCAATTGTTGGGCTAAGCTTTAGAAAGATTAGCAGTAACATTTAGGCAACATTTTGGTTTGAAACATGTCTGGATATGTTACTCTTTTCTTATTTTTAAGGAAAAAGTCAAAAAAGGCTTCTTATTTGTTCTCCTTGGTGGTTGCAGGGAATGAGATGTCCAGCCAACACTCACAAGCCTAGTTTTCATGTAAACACTAGTGTTATGTCAAAGAACAGCAATGGGAAGGGATCAAGTCCAGGACAAAGCAGAGGTGGGATTCCGACACATACTATGGAAGATGCGATGACAGAGGAGGAATTTTTCGAGTGGTTACAAAATGCTATGCAATCTGGCACGTTCGAAAATTTTGCTGCCGGTGGTAGTACATCTGAGAATCCACCTACCCGAAATGCCCCCAAAACCGGGGGCAGCAATAGTAGCAGTGCAGGCAGCAAGAGAAAGAAGAAGGGGAAGAAGCAATGGTGAGCACAAGGTAGTATGTTTTATGGACCATGCAAACTACAACTTTATGGCCTTTGGTCTATTTTGAAACTGAAGGTCGAGGAATATTAACGAGTACTAATTGTATTTTCAGAATGAGCTAAACTCAACTACCACTTTATTGTAATGGTTTGTACAGCATTTTGCCCAAATTTTGCTTGTGATTGAATCTTTCTCAAGGATTTTGGTGGAAGTTGGTCATGAAATCAAATACGTATGGCATGGCCAGGGGTGTAAAATGGACCAGGTGGGCCAGGACCGTCATGCCTGCCACGTAAAAGCACTACCGTGAAATCTAATTCAGTCTAAACAACGAGCAAACACTTGAATGAGACACTTAAAATTCTGCTGATGCTACTGGTCGGAATGAACAGAATCTGATCGATATTTTCTTGAAGATCTTGTACTTCAATCTTTATCTGATTATGATACTCGAACTTTTGAAAGTTGTATTAGACTAGCATCATCTTTAAATTTAAAGCAGGCCTTGAATTGTATATGATTGGTTTCTCGAAAGTTCAATAATATTAAAGAAGAAAAAGAAACTGAAGTATAGTGAATTGTATTGTGTAGAATATTTAATTTTAGAAACTAACGCGATATACAGGCAAAAATTCGTTATACTCAGGTGCTATATGGAGTTATATTGTGCAAAAGGAAAAAATAATGCAACTTGGTTTTCTTGTAAATTCAAGTAAATCAAACAAGAAAATTACGAAAATGAACTGGAGGGACGAGAGTTGGTAAAAATTGTAATTTTCCTCACATTATTTAAGGCTTCTTTAAACGTATAGTGTCACAACTAATAATTACATTCTTTTGCACAACTCGTAACCTTGTAACTTATAAAGATAGTTTTGTGTAAACATCACTTAAATATTATATTTACAATATATATGCGTTGTTAAAATTTTATAAGAAAAAACTTGGTGGAAAAAATCTAAAAAAGAACACATTTTTCTTTTGAATACTCAACCAAAGTTGCTTAATTAAAAACATTGCTAGAATCATACCATGATTTCTGCATGATACAAGAAATGATTTTTACATCTGATTTGACTATGACCTTATGCTTATCCATAATTATTTGATGTCGTACCATTCACTTCAAATAACGGAGGAGAACTAGTCAGACGGGATTCTTGATTTTTCACTATCTTAGATGTTTTTAAAACAATTTTTCAAAATGCCAAATGTTATTCCTCGCCTCTGAGACCCAATGAAACGAGGCCATGTGGCACAGCACGTGGGTAGATAGTCAACAAAAAAGTCAAAAAGAAAATCTAGTATGTCAAACATGTTAGCCCAAGAACAACTAACCAAGAAGGGGGTGAATTGGTTATTAAAACTTTTTCGTTAATCACTCAAGATTTCAATAAGTGAGCATGCAAATGATAGAGAATAGTCTAAACATAAGTAAACACGTAAATGGAACAATGTAAATTTGCGTGAAGTAAATGCGTTAAGTAAAAGGGATAGAGAATGCAAACGATATGTTATGGAGGTTCGATCCAATCCAATGATCTACGTCCCCCGT